AAAAAAAAAGAAACGAGGAAAATTTTGAAATTTTAATAATTTATTAACATCTATTAATCGTTCACTTAAATTTATTATCACTTCTGTGTACAAATTTTTACATTAAAACACTTACACATGTACACTACTTTAAAAAGTGTGCAATCACTTAATTTTATTATTTAACAAAGCGTAAAATATAGCAAATGATAGACATATGTACAATCTTACGTCAAACTATAACAGCATATAACATTGAAAAATTTAAACATCTGTCATAAAAAAAAAAAATATAAGCTTTTGTGAAAAACATGTGTAATTCTTAAAAAGCCCAACTGTGTATGGTAAAAAAAAAAAATTATTTTATCCAAATAAATTTTTTTCTGGATGACTAGTGGCCCTTCATCGTAAGTCAAAATCACTGAAATAAGTACAAAAATAAAATTCACATAAGCCTATTTCATGTAGGTACTTATAAGAATACGTCGATACGCCGTCACTTGGACGCGATTTTCCAATATTGTTTTGTACTTTGCAGGGTATACATTTGTTAGCCATTCAATTTTTTTTTTTTTTAACCCATATTGAATATCATTGAAACTCCTGAAACAGTTCCAGCTGATCGGATGACAAAGGAGGCTGGGATCTCCAATCGATTTCCGGATAGTCGTCAAAGCAGCTTGCATCATCGGATGTTTTCAGCTTTGGACATATAGGTGGAACCAAAGCTCTGTGCGGTACCTACAACCAATAATTTATTTAAATCATTACTTTAGGGTTCTTACCATTTAGATCAAAGGTCCATTACCTTTCTTATAAAAACATAATTTTGTGCCATTACAATTTAAACCAAAGAGCCACAAAGACCTTTTAATTACGTATAACGAACATCAAAAGTGAAAGGTTCGATTTGGAAGTTGAAAAGTTACTGTTTCTTTCAGGTAAAAAAAAAAGAAGAAAAATAATTCAATGTTCACCTGAATCCAATCGACGAGCTTGAACCACCTGTGCCTCTTGACATCCTCAGCGCCCTGTCGCATATTGCCAAGTCTCTTCGTCCTGTCGGTGATCAACAATTTTTTAACCAAGTCCTTGGCAATGGGATCCATGTGCTTGGGCCACTCTATTCGGCCACTGATGATTTTTTCGTAAATTCCGAACGGATTGTCGTCGAAGAACGGAGGAAAGCCCGACAGCATCTCGTAAATGAGAATTCCGAGGGCCCACCAATCCACGGCCTTGTTGTGGCCCTTACTCTGGATTATCTCCGGGGCAAGGTATTCCGGTGTACCACACAGTGTCCAGGTCCTGCTGTAATTTAATACACACGCATATAGTTTTGCTACATCCTCGTGTTTCATCTTTTTAATCTTAGGCATTGTGTGGATCGAGTAACTTTTTTTGAATCCTTGTATTTTTACAAAGACGACTTGTGAGGTAAGTTGCCTATTGATATTTTGATTGAAAAATAAATACATTATTTTACAACAAAACATACATGATTGGTGTATAAATTAAATTTTTAGTTAGAAAATTTAGTGTATCCATTGTTTATGTTGAGATGAAAAGATGTTGGGTCTTCGAGTGGGTACTTGGTAATTAAAAAAAAAAAAGATAATGTGCTGAAATTTGGTCATGCACTTGTTTCCCGGAGAAATAATTGATACTTCAAATTAAACGCCAAGTGAACGAGCTACATTGTAAACTTTTAGCTATTTAAAGAAAAGAAGATACCATACAATTCCATTTCTAATAAAAATGTTTTCATTAGTTTAATTAATGTGGATATATTAAGATGAATCGTATTTGGCTCAGTTCCAGGTACTTAATAATCGATAGAAAACATAAAGCGGAGACTATAAATTATTAAAATCTCTAAAAGTTTCCTCGACCCTCGTTACATTTAGTTGCAGTTATAACTAATTAACAGTGTATTCCATCTTTTTAATTATACCGTCTTGGATGTATGAAATGAGGTGATACGTTCACAAAATCATAAGAGTACACGGTTAATTTGACAAAGTGTTTCTATAATTAACTGGTAAGTAGATTATTACGTTCTAATGGCAATCCAAGTATTCAAAAAAATATTGTCCAGCAAAAAATAGTACAAAATATTTTTAGAGAACAAAGTTTATGACATAGCTTCGGATCAAATATTAAAATACTTTGACACTTTTTCCGTTTTTTTTTTTTTTTTCTTCATCAGAATGTACGTACAATGCATCATTTACGCCAAGAAATATTTTATTTAGCATCATGTTCTACAACAGCAATAGGAAAAAATTACACCAGCATAAATAACGCATATAATTTTTTTCATGTAATTTCCGTAACATCGTTTTTTACGCAATAAATAGGTATTGGTACCTGTCGATGAGTTTTTTCGAGAACCCGAAATCCGTGATTTTAAGGTGACCCTGTTCGTCCAGCAGCAAATTTTCGGGCTTCAAGTCCCTGTAGACGATGTGCTTGCTGTGGAGGTACTCGAGGGCGCAAACTATCTCTGCCGTGTAAAAACAGCTCGTCCTGCTCGAGAAACGGCCCGCAGCTCGGAGGTACGAAAAAAGCTCGCCACCCGCGACGAATTCCAGAAGCATGTATATTCTCGCCTTGTCGCAGCCGCTCCAGAGCCTGAGCAAAAAAATATATATATATGCGGATGAATTGGTGATTTCGGAGAAGTGAGAAGGGATTTTTTTGGAAGATGTCAAAGGGAGACAAGTTGATTTACACTTGTACGACAAAATCGAAAATTCCTCTTTCGTTCGGCCAATATTCGTTTTTATTTCGTAAGAAGTTTATACTTTGCTGAACAATAGGATGAGTTATATAACATATGTAATACACGTGTAAGATCAAGCTTTTATATCTGAACATTACATTAAGCACTCCACTGTTGTGGAAGAAATACTTTTCAATTGGTCATGGTTGTTATTTATTAGAGAAAATAATGGTAATCTAAGTCAAAATAATAGTCATCTAAGGTCAAAATTTTTTTTAGAAAAAGTAGTTAAAATTTGTACAAATTAACAAACTTATTCGTAATATTTGAATACATTGACGTCAGTGCTATCAAACGTTTGAACTTTTATTTTTAGTACACTGACTTTAACAAGCCTCGTCGAAAAAAAAAAGGTATATAAGGATTTTGGAACACAGATTTTAGTATTGATTAAAGTGAAATTTTTTTTAATTAGATGCATCTATAGTGTAGTTAATAAAAATAAAATAAAGTGGTTTCAAAAGTAGACAAATTCATACGATATCTCGAGCACTTAAAAGGTTTTATTACATGAAGGGGTATATCAGGCATGACATTTCAAAATTTCATTCAAATTGATGAATTATTTTTTATTACATGAAATTATATGAACTTTTTTAAATCCATCCTCTATTTTCTCTCGTCACTGTCCAGTTGAACAGCTCTACCAAACCCGCGATGCAAGTTTAATCACATTTTTTTCCATTTATAGCTACTGTCTAACGATATTCATCGAATAAAATTCAACGCCACTCGATCTAAATTTTCTCGGAACTCGTAAATTAAAAAAAAAAAAAAAATGCCTCAATCCAATAAATTTACTCGCGAGCTATGCAACGTCATCCCCGTGAGAATCGAATGCACTTTTCTTTCCTCCAATCAATTTTTGTAATAATAACATATCCGGAAATGCGTTTTTTTGTGATCTTAAAAAAATATTCTTAGTTATCACGCTCGTGAATAAAATCTTTTTTTCAAACCAGGAAACAAAATACATCAAACCCAGGCTAAAAAAATTTCTCGTGTAATGTACGCAATGATAATTTATGTGTAAGCTCCGTATACCCACATGTTGACGATGAAGGGATGATTGACTTCCTTGAGGACGGTTATCTCGTTGCGCACGTGGTCGACCTGCTTGAGCCTGATGACGTCGGCCATCGAGAGGATTTTCAGCGCCAGGGGCTTGCCTTCGTGCCGGCACAGCACCACACGCCCGAAAGTTCCAGTTCCTGTTGAATATGCATGGAAATAAGGAAAAAAAAAAATTTTTTTTTGTATAAACTGTCTACAAAGCTACGAAATTTAAAACAACCATCGGTGCACAGCAGTACATAAAAGAGCCAAATGTAGTGTAGGCAAATCCAGCGTGGCATTAGCCAAAGCATTTTTTTTGTCATCATCATCGAAAAATAAATCTCATAAATCGGCCAGTCGCGCATTGCGTGCAGGTACGCGCATCTAGCCGCGGGACATTTGTCGAAAATAAACAAGTAAATATAAAAACACGCCCGCACGCCAAAACGTCCCCGTCACCCTCAAGGTCCCTGTGTATAGCGTTGATTTCGGGACGTCGCGGAAAAGCTCCGCGAAAGCTCATCTCCATATCCCGCCTGTGGAGTCGGCTCGTCGCATCCGTTGAAAAATCCGCGGTGATGGGCCCAACGAAGGAAAGGTGATGAAGCAGATTGGAAAAACTCCCACACCGGCGAGATGGACGAGCTACAGCCAAGCTCGAAACGAAGCGATTACATCACCAACTGCGCCCGCGAGGAACGAGAATCACCCCGCGTCTTTACCGATGGGCACTCGTATAATGTGGTGTCGTTAGATCCGCGTGTTGGCTTGTATACACGAACGCGCTTGAGTACTCGAGCATCATACCGCGGAAAATGATATCCAACAGCAGGGTTTTGTTGTGCGCTTCTTCTTCACCTATAAATAGACGAAATAACTGGCAATCGCTGCTCTTTTTGCGCTCGGTGTATCTTTGCGTAGGTATATGTAACGTATGATGGGCTATGATGGTGGGCGACAGGTGTCGAGGCTAACCGTCCGTACCGCTTGGGTGGGATCGCGGTGTCGAGCGCGGATTTTACGTTAGTATTTGAGATTTTGTTTAATCACGGCCTCGCGTCGTTTTTGTTTCACCTCCGCTACGGTGGGAAAATTCATTGTGTACTACGGGTTTTGGGGGAGCGGCTCGATTCACACCTTTTTTTCCTCTCTTTTTTCTTTATCTCAACTACGGGACAAATTTTCGAGGGGGTGAACATCTTTGCGATATTTGGTAACACAAAAAAAATGTTCGTCAATCCGAATGAACGTTTATTCGAATATGAATAAAAAAATGTATTTGTTTGAGTAAAATAACTATTTAGTTAAATGTATTGAATATAACGTTTATTTCATTCAAATTAATGCTTTTTTTTTATTTTTATTCAAATAAACTATTATTTGGATTAACGAACATTTTTTATCAGTTGAACAATGGCCAATAACGTTCTAGTAATTTCAGTCCTCTTGTATTAAACAAAAAAAAAGGTTTACAGTATTGTTGTGTTTGCCAAATGACAAACAATTATTATCTCAGTGTAAGATTGACAGTCGGGTAAAAAAAAGGCCTTTTTTCCCGTTGAAGGTGGCAAAAGCGTAAACAGTAAGTTCCAACGAGACGAGTGTCACCTAAATCACGCAAAACTTGCAAGGCACTTCCGTGAAAAAACGCACACCCAAAGGGCATTAGTCGAGGAAGCCCATCGGCCTGTTAAATCAACGTGACCGCCAACGTCTAGTCTGACAAAAAGCCCCGCATCCACCCAATTAAACCAGAGCCGCTATTATTCGCCCGTACAGCTCGCGTCGTCATCGTCTTCGTATAACGGTATTTGTAGCCGGTAGTACATATACCTCGGCGTACGTATGGACAAAGTATGTCCCATCGTTAGACCATCAGCATTTCAGCAAGAAGCCTCATCGTCTCTCTCTCTCTCTCTCTCTCTCTCTGGCACGAGTACTGAACTTACGTGATGTATGTGACCGTGTAAATAAAAAGCACGAGACATAATTTTATATACATCGTTTTCTTTCCGCGAATACGTATGGGGTTTACATCTCTGGCGAGTGAATTACGCAGGCGTCGACAAGAAGTTATACAGGTAATGTGGTAATGTCTCCTCGAACCATAGAAAAATCACAAAGATCGTCGACAAAGGATACAAGAGGATGATACGAGTGACCTCTTTTTCCGCTGGTTTACCGATTTAGTACCTGTTAGGTAGTTGTATGGAGCTAGAGGGACACGATGGTGAAATTTTTTTTTGAGGTGTAACGAAAGAGTTGAGGGTCGAGGGAAGGAAGAAACATCATGACTTGAGTTGCACGTGATTTTTTCTAATCGTGTGCACTGGTAGGGGAAGTGTATAAATAACTTTGTACGTGTACTTTCAAACAGATAAGCCATTGTTTTAGCACAACTTAAGTGTATGTACTTTGACCAAAAAAACTTTTTTTTTTCCATTTCAATGTCATTTTTACTCGTCAAATTGAGCTTCGCGTGATTTACTACAAAATCGAGGGTTAAAACTTTTTTCACATCAATTTATACACTGTTTGTTTCAAAAAAACCTCGTGGAAATATCTATGACTTGCTAGTAAAACAACTCAAAGAGACTGTATTAAATATTTCATGAAGTCGTATTCATTCAATGAGGTATAACTTTTTTTGATCCCAACTACTGAATTGACTGAACTTCACATTCACTCATTGGTCAAAATAAAAATACTTTCTACAAGTTTCAAGATTACTACTGTAAGTTACGTATTTTTGAACGGTTTGCTTCAATAATTGAAAAAATAAATAATTCAAAATAAAATCGTCTCTAATTTTTTGTGTTATGAATGTGTCGTTATCATAGTTTGATGTGTATGCAGCGTTCAGCAGCCAGTAGGTAGTATAAAAAGTTTAATTTATGCCACCGACATCACTTAAAAGATTAATGATATATCGTAAAGTCACACACGCGTGGTATATACAGTGCAATAAACTCGAGGCATTGTTTGGCGCGAAAAATCATTATTTTATCCCCACGATCGTATCAAGAACTCACCACTGTACAACACGCGTTTCCTTTACATACGAGCTATATATACCCACGCGTAATCATTAATCTTTCGGGCATGAAAAATGTGCCATCAAAATGCCATTCGTACCCTCTGTCTTTGTTGCATTACATAAAAGGCCCACCGCAAAGTATTCCTCTGCATAATAGCCACATTCGTACAACACATTTCAAAGAACCGCCACCAACAACGATATCGAACAAAAAAAAAAAAAAAAGAAACCTCACGCACACGCAGTTAGTGGTCCAATGGTTGTTACTCTCGGTCTCAGGTGTATATCATCGGAGAGTCAACGTACGGGTGGCTACGATTTTTCAAAAGCGTCGTCGCGAACAAGGCAACAAGGTATCCCCCCCTCCCGCCCATGTCGGCACACACACGTGGTATGCCGTTTCCTCCCATTAAAGGGCTAACGGTACTCTTTAACGCTAACGAGACACAAAGAAAGATAGAGCCCTGACGCGCACGTGCTGAAACCATGCGGGTTCTCTATTGGTTGGATGACGTTTTTTTTAAGCTTAAGGAGCTTGCGTTGGATGTACGGATGCTTCGAGTGATTATTAAACCATTTAAAGCTGCCGTATACGGTGCCACGGTGAGCACCCTTTGTTTGGGGTGCTTTATTGTAAATGAATTTCACGATGATTTATTCGATTCGATGCTCAAAATGTTTGTGAAGAGATTGCGTTTTCTCGATTCGTGCCAGTCAATGATATTGTTTATCTATTTTTTTTCTTTTTTTTTTTTTTGTTAACGCGATTGAAAAATATATTTTTCCCGAATCCGTTTCACACTTCCGGTCATCCAACAAACACGCCTGCACCGTGGAAAAAGCACACACGTCAACGGCGAAAATAAAATGAAAAAAGGCTTTTTAAAAATACCCAAGAAACAAATAAAACAAAAAAGGAAAAGAAAAAGAAAAAAAGATAGTAATCTCTCTCACCAATGGTCTTGATCATCTCAAGATTGTCGATCTCGTATTTCGGTGAGTCGCTAATGGACAAGTCCTCCTCCGACGTCGCGTTGCTAGACATCTTGTCTCCTCTCCTCCTCCTTCGCGGCTGACGTAAAAAAAAAAAGCTTTACGATTTGTTGATGAAAACGGAAAACAGTACAATAACAACGATAAAAGTCACTCGCGAGCCGTGCCCGTAATATCCTCCTCACGGGCCCATTGACGCACTGTCCGCGGCACAGTTCAACGCACGCTTATAGGTATTGTACGTACCACACCTATTCTTAGTTTTTCTTTCGTGCAACGACAACAGCCACTCGGTGGTAAAACAGTTTTTCCGTTCGCGCAAAAGTTAACGCACGCTAAAAATCATGATGACAAAGCGCTCGATGCTCGTCGTCACGCACACACTCTCTCTTGGACTCGAGCCGACCGGAGTTTTCTTGGTTTTTTTCTCCTCCTCCTCCTCCTCCTGGCCTCCTTAACTCGTTCGGGCTCGTGTTCTGCTTCTGTGCTCTGGAAAATAAATTTAACGCTCTCTTGATTTTTTGCCATTTTCTGATGCTTATTGGTTTGTTCGAACTTATAAATATATTGCCGATTTCTTGTTCCATCGGGAAAGTGATTTTGTTGCTAAATTTTCAAAGTAACAATGTTTGAAAAGAAAAGTAAAAATCCACTCCAAAAGTTAAATTTTTCATTGAAATGTTTTCAATAGTGGATCATGAGATTTAGAAAAATCATTATATACTAGATATTTTGCAAAAAAAATTAATCGCCCGCCATATCTAAACTGCCATAATATCAGTGAAACATGCGATGAAAGTTGTTTTTTTTTATTACACACGGCCACGGTAACGTGTTAATAAATCACGTGGTCTTCAAGCTTTCATGCGTTTTCATTTCATCGCATCTGGATAATGAAATTGTTGCTCGTGTCATTGATGTTGAAAAAAAAAAAAAAGTGGTTTCCCCAGGAACACGATATATATATTTAAACCTTGACTTGATACACTTGTCAACGAACCGCGGTTACCCGCTTTTATATTAAAATACATCTTACATCGATAGAGAATGGATATTTTTAGCGAGCAAAGTATCGTTTGCCCAAAATTTTTATCGCGGTCCGGCTAAAAATACGCTCGACCTAATAATACAGTGGATCCAACGAAAGGAAAAAGATGCCTGTGGTACATGTTTTTGCGAATAATCGTGTAATCGTAGCTAGTCGACTGTTTATCCTAACAGCTATTTTTGATGTAAAGCTAATCAAAGTTTTTTTTTTTTTTTTTTTTTTTTTTTTTTTTTTTTTGTAACAACCAGTAGCATTTCAGATGTTCATATTTAAAAATCCACGTGGGATTAACTTCAAACAAGGTGTAATTCTATTGACACGAGGTAATCATCTACTAAAGTAATTTCTTTTATTTATTGTTGCGTGAAAGTGTTGGGAATTTATAGCCATCTCTTATCGTATACACTGCCAACAAATAAAAATTAAAGTAAAGTACATGAAGAATCCAGCGAAAATTATGAAATTGTTGACATTATACAACAAACGATTGACGCGTACTAAGGAAAACAAAAAGCACAAACTCAGTGCACGGCTTACGAGCGCAGCTTCACAACAAAGTGACCCGCGTGTTTCGTAATGCTCGGATTATGCGCTGCGGGCGCATATTATACGTACACCACTTTCTACCTCCCTTTCACTTGAACTCTTTTTGATCATAAAATCTCGTCTCTGCTATCGCGAGCACCTATATCAACATCGACTTTTTTTTTTGCAACTCGTTCGTAGTAGAATTTCTACTCTGTATGGTTCTTCAGAGCAAAAAAATAATGTTACCTACAATTATAAAAGAAAAAAAAATTAAAGGGTTATGACAGTGGTACATGTAGCACAAGTAGATTGTGGTCAGTGTCTCTGGCTGAGAAATCGGCAGGTCGGAAGAGAAAGCTCTTTTTACCAACGCAGCGACACGCGACGCGCCCCACTGGCCTGTTCCATTAAGAAAAGCAAAAAACCAGAGCCCATAAATATCCTCCTCCTCTTCTCTCTCTTTTTTTTAAACAAAAACCACAGTGTCATCGCCCGCCTTCTCGAAAACGCACCACACAAGTGTGCCAAATTATTAATCTTTGTCCATCCGATCGTTCGAAAACACTTTTGAGTTTCGCCAAATGGGTACACGTAACGCGTTGGCCATCGATCTTTCGCACCGATGAATATTTTATAACATCAGCAACAGTAGTATAGTATAAGTTTTACGCACCAACGCGAATTACGTGCATTATATTTCATGAAAAATGTACGTGCGATCGTTGAAGGGCATTTGTTGGATATGCCTTAAACGTACCGACTGTATAGAGACACGTGCACTGGTTTCTTTTTTTAAAAAATTCAAGGTTTTTATGAAGTACGAACGTAACATGAATGCAAAATGATACTACCTATGTGCCGACGACCACGATAATCGTAAAAATCGGTTGTAACGGTACAGATCGTTAACGTGATCGGTAAGAGTATCAACGTTTGTACACACGTGTGCGGATATATCATGTGCAAAACATCATATTATACACGTAAGCAGAAAAGAAAAAAAAAGGGAAAAGTTCACCTGATGTCTCCAGCTAAGTGGAAAACCAAATCAGCATTGCGAGGGCATGGGGGGGAGGGGCAAAAGACCCCTACTGTAGTTGTGTATCAGCAATCGGTGATTGCGCGCAGTCCAGACCTTATCGAACACCGTCAAACAGTACAGGCGAAGGTGAGAAGACTCATTTCCCGTGCTACACGCGTGTACTGCACTCGCGCACCGATTCGAAACGATGGGACATCACCATGGGACATCTCGATTTGTCGCGTTTCGCGCCCTAAACTGTACATCAATTCGATTATCAAAAATCGTAATTGCACACACCCCCACGACGTGCACCAGAGCACGAAACGAATAAAAAATATACACGAGCACGCGTGCAGAGGGGGAGGGGGGTAGTTAAAACAATTAAACAATATAATGGATAGATAAATAAATAAATAAATAACAAAGCGCGAGTGAGAAAAGCTCCGTTCCGCGGCTCACGCGGCGAGCATCACGAAACTGAGCCGCCGCGCGTCCCGAGATCTCTGAAGCCTATGCCATCGTTCCGTCCTTCTTCCTCTTCTTCTTCGACTACTCTAGCTCTCTCGCTCTTTTCTCCGTTGTACATATATACGTGTATATACCACCTCTTGTACTTATATACACCAGCACAGGCAGTCCCCGCTCGGCCCCTCCTCCTCCTCCTCCTCCTCCTCCACTGCTGATGTATGTAGCATTAAATGTCGTATATAGTGCTTTGCTTTTTCACTCTCTCTTTCCGTCCGACGTATATGTGCATATGTCTCTTTGGTGCTCTCTCCGTCCCTCCACCGCCTGTGACATATACGCGTACCTACATAGATGGCCAAGGGTCTATGTACAACGCGTAGAGGCGATTTTTCTTCATTTCCCTGTCGCTCTTTCCTTTTTTTTCTATACCCCGTATATGTATATATATATCATTGCTTGGCATCGGTTGCGTAATCGGTCCTTTCCACCTTCACAATTGCCTTCTCTCGGGGCATAGGTATCGATGTTAGGTGTACACAGACGCACAGGTGGGCCTGACACGTTTTTTTTTTTTTTTTTTCACTGCTCAAGCTATAGTTCTCCGGTTTTATACTGGTTCAGAGGGAGAAGAGGGGCTGTCCTCTCGTGGGGCTGGGAAAGTTATCCGCTCGGTCGTTGCTTTCAGCTGATCCAAGCGTATATTTCCTAAATTTAACGTAACTCAATTTTTTTTTTTTTTTTTTTGTGTTACTACCGATTTTCATAATTATATACTGTTGGAGAGAGCCAATTTCCAGGAAAACGTAACTTACTGTTGGATAATCGCAATGAAGGTTAAATATACAACATTTCATAACCTACTCGAATCGGGAATTAATTTTACACCGTAGAATCGGGGTTTACTCGACAACTGATTAGATATAAAATGCAGGCACTGAGGCTTGTAAGTAGATAATGGCACGGTTTGGTCAGACGCGCGAAATAAAGTAGAACAATTAAGGCTTTAAAGTGAAAGCACTTTTGTTTGCTCGTAAGTTATCCGACGCGTTAAATTGGGATCTTTTTTTTATCGCGATAATAAAATACGTCACCCACAATTTAAATTCGTAGTTAATTTGAGAATCTCTGTGACGTACGCGTTTGCATAGCTAATTGGTACAAAAAATCGATTCGAACGTGTTTCGTTACAAATATAACCACTGCTGTATTAAACAGACAAGACTCGAGCGACAGACTAGTGAAGTAGTGAAATCGTCAACAAAAGTGTCCGAAAATACCTTCGTTTGAAAATCCAATATTATCCCCGTGTTCCACTTACTTGAAAAAAAAAAAAAAAAAAAGCCGACCAACGCCAAAAGCGTCATAACGACGACGAGCAAGGGATAGAAAAAAAGCAACAAAAAAAAAATCGCCTTGTTTTCTCGAAAGTCGGAGAAACCTCAGTTTACCGCGTTAAACGAATCACCTACCCTGAAAACTTGAAATGTAACGATAATAACGATAAAAAAAAAAAAAAGAGAGCACGAATAATAGTCTCGAAGCGCCTTTCTCTTTTTCATGTCACGTTCAAAAAGGAAAAACCATGCATGGTTTAATCCCATTCGAAGAAGAAGATAAGACCTTACCTCATACACGCAACGCGGGACTTGCCAAATAAACGAACGCGTCACGGTGATTATCGCTCACCAGCGCCCAAATCGCTTCGAGGTTTTGAAAAACTTTTACTCCACTGTAAAATGGGGGAAAAAAAAGTCCGCGCCTAATCTTAGATGTTCTCGCGGAGCGCTTGTACAGTCGACGCATTGTGCCCCACGTTATACACGCACCGTTATGTACACATCACACGCGCGCGTTTCTTTCTGTGCTTCGCCTCTCTGATGCTGTTGCACGTGGGCCCCGTCGTTTGGGATTCCGTTGGAGCTTAAATTTACGGAATCGAGGAAAGCAGCTCTCGTGCGACGCTTCCGGCGTTTTGAAAGACCCCGATGTCCGATTTGTGGTGGTGTTTTTTTTTGTACTTGAAACAAGAATTTTGACAAGTGCAGACTCGCGGTGGATAGCCATTGTCTTTAGCTTGACTTTTCACGTGCACACATTTTTCACTCCGAAAAAAGGATGGTGCACTTGGAAATATTTGCATTTAAAACAACAAAAAAACATTTAATTTAACACAAGTTTAAATATTACTTCACCTTTGACCAGGACGCGTGTTATGTTATTCTCGGCTCCACCAAAACTTTTATCAAAGTTTACTGAGATTTAATGCCAAGCCGAGTTTAGGGCCAAAAATGTCAATGAAAAGGCCAAGTATAAATCGCCAAAAAAATCTTCGAAAACCGTTTTATTCCTCTTTAACTCGTGATTTTTCGTGATTTTTCAAGCAGACTTCCACGTATACCCGCGGTACGGCCAACAGAGGAGAAATTACGATTATAATCTCCAAGAGGCATTATCTCTCTTTCTGCGTACGTGTTTCGACTTTGTTGACGTGGGTTCCCTGGACGCGCTCCAAAAGTGCAGAGAAAGAGCCGGGGCGTTCGTCATCGTGCACGCGAGCGAGAACGTCAGTTTTGGCGCGACGGAAGGAAGGAGAGCCGGAAAAGAGACGAAAAACTTGATTTAGCCCTCTCGTCATCTCTTTCTCTGTATACCTATTTGTGTTGTTGTTGTTTTCATTATTGTTACAATGGCCCATGTGACCTGAAATTGGATTATTCGCTACACGTTTCGATTATGGTGAATATCCACATCATATATATGTAGCTTGTTCGACAACACTATGTATTGTGTTTACAGGGGAAAAAAATTTATTCACAAGCTCGTGTACTGTATTATCAATAATTAATCATCATTTACGAAAGAAAGTTACTTCACATAGGAATTCTTGCTTCTATTACCGACTACCTATGATCGTTATCTGATATGATATGTTTTTCTACGCTCGGCTATCGATAAGCACATGCTAAGCATTCCTCGGTAAACACAATGCTCAAGTAAGTAGGTATTACAAATAGCAAAGACGTGTATTGTTATTGGACGCCAATTTTTTGTGATTAAAAACTATACGTATACTTTTAAGACAATTGTATGTACCTTCCTGCGAAATGCGTACTTTTGTACTGTGAATTTACAATTCATTCATCAAGAGCACGATCGAGATTGTAATTCGCAGTGATTTCTCGGATGGTTACTCAATATGTCCTGCTGCTACCGCATACTATATACCATAAAAAAAAAAAGGATTACTGATCCAAGAAACGACTACAAATTCCAGCTCAAGTCGAGAGGTATTTGCTTGCACTTGGGTGTTAAAAATCACGCAACATCGGGCCAACTTCCTTCGCTCTGCGCCGCAAAGATCGGCGACACTGATTACAGCGTCTCTTCCACGACGAGCTCGAGCGGCTCGTTACACGTATACGCGAATCGGAAGCCGAGATCGTGCGAAACGTCCTTTAGTCGTCGACTCACGCATGTAATACGCGTTGGAGGAAAAATCACAGGGATGAAAAAAAAAAAGTCCTCGCCCTCGAGAAAATCGGCAGAAAGAGACCTACTCTCTGGTGCACACGTTATTTTGAATGATTGAAGCACTAGAGGTTTTTATGCACTTTTGCGCTTGTCAATCAACTTGTATGGATGTAAATAATCTGCATCTCCCTTACGGGGAAATTAAAATGTAATAGTACAACGTGATGAGGAGTGTATAAATGTGTATGCTTCAGAAGGGGGTTTGCAATGAGCCAAGTCAGTATTACATTTTTCTAAAATTTATTATACCTTACAAATGTTTATCGTAAACAATTTTAATTTATCAAATAACCGTGGAAAATGATTGAGAGTACATAACGTGACGACACTATTTCAAAATAAATTTTTTTTAAACGTCAAAACTTAACAACCAAACGAATTTTGTGCGTCCTAGTGATTCTCGACTATGTGGGCGTTACAAGTGCCCAATGTTGTGAATTTTAGCTTACACATGTAACAGGTGTAACGCGCCTTTCTTGTTTTTCGCGTTCTCCTAGTTACTCTTGATGATTGTGGTGGTGATTCTACTTCATCAGTTGTTGTGATTTCGTCGACTTTCCCATGCAGCATTTTGCGTATATATTTGGGTGGTAATACCTGATGTAAAAAGAAAAATTTGTTAAATAATTACCTTTCTGTTGTCAAAAACAATTTAATACTAGTCACACGTATTTACACAAATATCCATTTGTATTAAAAATTCCTAAAGAAAAGTTGTTCTTGGGTCTCGTAAAAGATGAAAGTTTTCGATTACACCCACATTTATATTTCCCGTTTTTACATTGGTTACTTGACAAAATGTAAGTCGTGTGACCATTTTTTCTCGCTTTACAATACTTACAAATACAGAAGTTACAAAAAATTACTCAAGCACGATATCTTCAACTTTGGGTGTTAAAATGAAAATTTTTTTGTATGGATTAGTACCGTGCTAGAATATTTCAATACAATTAAAAATACTGTAGGCGACTTTTCATATTTCGATAAACCATATACTTTTAAATCCTATACTTACCGTAAATGCTGAGTAAAAATCGGTGATCCGCGCAGTTAAGCACTTGAAAATCAAATACATTCACAAAAGAGATTGTTCGAGCTTTAATATACAGTCCAAGTCGAAAATCTTAAAAATATATTAATGTAGTTATAATTGCTGCGTGTGTGAAGTTAGATAGCGAGAAGGTGACGCTTGTTAAACGTCGCTCAAATTAAAATCGTTGTTCTGTGTAGGCTCTAGATAAATAATTTATAATTATTTTTTTTCGAGCCTTCCCGCCTTAAATTTAATTTGATACTTTATCAGTCTTATTAGTGACAAAATTCAATGCTTGACTCACTTGAATTGCAATATATTATACGCCAAATAAAAAGTTTTGTCAAGATTTCCACCTTGATATAACAAAGAAACATGTTTTGTAATTGCACTCATTATAGATAGTAGAAGTGAAATAGACTTGTCATTTCTCAGTTGTTGTTTTCTATT